AAACGATGTACAAATGCGCTTTACACAATTGATGTGTGTATGGATTGGGATAACAGTTGTATGAGCCCCTAATAAAATGTTAAAAAAATAAAGTATAAAAAAAAAAAGTATTGAGTGAAAAATAGCATCGCTGATACTTGCATTGATATTATTCTTTTACATTAGTAAATATCTCATTCAGTAATAATTCTTGTGCTATGTGTCAGGTATTGTTTTCAGTCCTAAGTGTAAACTCAAAACTCAAACTCTCTGCCATTGAGTAAATTCTGGCTTACAATGACCTTAGAACTGGCCCTGTGACTTTCCGAGACTCTTAACTCTTCATGGGAGTAGAAGGCCTCATCTTTCTCATATGCAATGGCTGGTGGTTTTGAACTGCTGACCTTCCAGTTAGCTGTCCAAAATGTAACCCACTATACCACCAGGGCTTTTCATTTCTGGGTTTAGTTGTGAACAGAAATCTTTTTCTTATGAATGCAGGTTATGCTTTAGCGGCAGAAGACAAATGAAAATAGGTAGTATGCTAGTTAGTAGTAAACAAACTCATAGCCGTCAAGTGGATACCAAATCAGAGCGACCGTATAGCATAAGGCAGAACTGTTATCCCCACCCCCACCCCCATTGGGTTTCCAATGCTGTAAGTCTTCATAGAAGAGGACTGCCCAATCTTCCCCCTGCAGAGTGGCTGGTGGCTTTGAACTACTGTTTTTTTTGTTTAACAATTCAGTGCTTCAACCACTGAACTCTAGGCACAGAGTTCTTAGTGATTACGTCGTGTTGTAGGGGGAAGAGGTGGGAAGAGGAAAAGGCAAGGTCAGTTGGGGAAACTGAAATTTTTGTAGTTAATCTAGGAAGTCCTCCCTCGCTGAAAAGGTGACATTCGTGTGAAGTGCTCAAGAAAGCAAGGATGTCTGGGGAAGAATAGCAAGTGCAAAGATCTTCAAATGAGAGTTTCTCTGCTGCGTTTGAATGACAGTAAGGAAGCCAGTGTCGCTTCTCTGAAGGGCAGGGGCAATGGGGTTTCAATGCGGCTAGAGAGGTGGTTGGAGCCCTGGTGGGTTAGTGGGTTACCTGTGAACTGCGTGGTCAGCAGTTGGAACCCACGAGTAGCTCCACCAGAAAAAGATGTGGTCTTTTGCTCCAGTAAAGATGTATCGCCTTGGACACCTAAAAGGACAGTTCTTCCCTGTCCTTCCGGGCCGTGACTGGCATGGTGACAATGAGTTTGGTTTTTGTTTTACGGAAAGAGGTAGCAGAAGCCAGGTCTTTTAGCTCACTCGAAGTGTGCTGGGGAGCCTTTGGAGAATTTGGAACAAATGCATTTGTCGTCTGCCTTTGGATTCCCTCGGGTCACTTTGTCAACTATGTTGACAATAGGGAGTATAGAAACAGGGGGAATGGTCCGGGAGCTATTACAGAGATTCAGAAGAAAGGTGATGACAACTTGCACCGGGGTGAAACCTTAAGTAGTATGAGAAATAGTCATTTAATGGGATCCCTGTGAGACAGAATCAACAGCATGCAAAACCAACTGGTTTTTAGGTTAAAAATATTTCCTATATCAGAACAAAAATCATACCAATTGAATGGGGTGGGGGGTGGGGGTGTGATGCGGAATGGAAACCCAAAGCCCATCTGTAGACAATTGAACATCCCCTCACAGAAGAGTCACAAGAAAGAGACGAGCCAGTCACGGGGCAGCATAGCACCAATGAAACATACAACTTTCCTCAAGTTCTTTAATGCTTCCTCCTCCAACTATCCTGATCTCAGGTCTACCTTACAAATCTGACTAGACCAGAACATGTGCACTGCTACAGATAAGAGCACTTAACACAGTGAATCCAGGGCAGATAAACCCATCAGAGCCAACAATGAGAATAGAGATACCAGGAGGATAAGGGGAAGTTGGGGGGAGAAAGGGGGAATCGATCACAACAATTGACATTTAACCCCCTCCCAGGGGGATGAACAACAGAAAAGTGGGTGAAGGGAGACACAGATCATGTAAGATAATGAAAATAATAATTTATAATTTATCAAGGGTACATGGGAAAGGGAGGGAAAAATGAGTTAATATGGGCTCAAGTAGAAAGAAAATACTTTGAAAATGATGATGGCAACAAATGTACAAATGTGCTTGACACAATGGATGGACGTATGGATTGTGATAAGAGTTGTATGAGCTCCCAATAAAATTATTTGGTAATTAAAAAAAATTCCTATAAAGGTAGAATAGGATGCTTATTTGCATATGAACATTATAAACAAATTAGTAATTCTGGCCATAATCGGTTCCATTTTGAAATCTCACCTGGTGTTGGGCAAGAAAAGGACAATAGCATTAAGAAAATCAGATAACTGTTAGTCCTATATTAGTACTGGTTTTAATAGATTATTTTATATTGACCTTTTTAAAGATTGGACTTTTTACATGTTTCAAAATGGTGTTAAATGAAGAACAGAATTTAAATTGTGGGCTACATGTTTTATGATGTGGGCTACAATTTATAAATTGTGGGATGCAGGCTTTATGATGCTTGTCATTTAACCTTTGCAGATTTTGAAAGACATAGCCAACCGATACCATATGATGCGAGGTTCCAAAGTACATTTCGTGCCGGGCTGGGATTGCCATGGGTTACCCATTGAGATAAAAGTGCTGTCGGAACTTGGTGGGAAAGCTCAGAATTGTTCAGCTATGGAAATTCGAGGGAAAGGTTAGTGATTTTCTTTCTGTTTTAAAATCGTTGCGAGCACTTACTGGTCCCTTGGAAAAGTCAGAGCTTTTTTCTTTTTCAATCATGAGATTTGTTGGAAACTACATTGTGGCACAGAGAATTCACATTTGTTGAATTTGGTGAGAAAATAATGTTTACAAGACGGAAGGAAGGATTTTATAAGCATTTCTAAGTATATTTTACATTTCTATTTCCTTCACTTTCATATTTTGTGAAATTATTGTTTTGGTCAATGTTTTTATTTACTTTCCTGACTAGAACATTTGATCAATTTGAGTGCTAAATAAAAAGTAAATTCTAAAACGCACTTATTTTCCATTAATATTCTATTTGACTCTTTCCTTTAGCAAATGGGGTCAAGTAGAGAACTCCTTATTTCATATTCAGATATGTTTATGAAGGTATTTTACTTCCTTGTGAAACACATATTATTGGCTTAATTATATCAAATACACGAATTAATTTTCAGCGTTTATACTGAAATGAAATTGTTCTGTGACTTTTTCTTTCTTTTTTTTTTAACCCCCCCCACCCCGACTTTTTCTTAAATTGAGAAATGCACACTTAAAAAATATTTTTCTAAGTGTGTCATCTTATTAAATCTGGAAAATGTAGGAAACAATATTTTAACTGCTGAAATTCCAGTTAATTTCTGAATTTGTTGTATCTTGTGAACATCTTTAATTTTCAAAGTAATCTTCCTGTTAAAAATTTTTAGTCTTAACTGTAAAACTCATTCATTTAGAGGGATACATACTAACTCCTAAGAATTTGAGTTAGATGCTTTTTTTTAACCTGCTACAAAATCACAGAAACCTCAGTTAAAATTATAAAAATATCAAGTCAAAACCAACAAAAATCAAGCCATTTTTTTTCTCCACAGATAATACTGCTGCAGGCTGTTTTTCCGTCTCTTCAATCCTTCTCCATATAATTCTCTGGGTTTTCATTAATTTGCATCGTATCAAAATGACACTTTGGGCATGCTCAGGAACTCAGGTCTTGTTCCTTTAAAGTGTGCTTAGGTTTTGAGAACAATGAGAACTTCGAAGGGGCCAGATGAGGCCAGGTTTCCCATAGAGTTGTTGTAGGCTAGCCCTGGCTAACCGCGAAGTGAGCAAGAACATGGCTGTGACAGAAAACCATTCTTCAGCACACCTTTCCCAATTAGTTGGTTTTCATAGGCAATTGTTTTTTATTTTTTCAGCCCGAGCATTTGCTAAAGCAGCCATTGAAAAACAGAAATCAGCGTTTGTTCGTTGGGGAATAATGGCTGATTGGAATAATTGCTACTATACATTCGATGAAAAATATGAAGCCCAACAGTTGAGAATTTTCTATGAAATGCATGAAAAGGTACTCTACAGGTCCCCTCCCCCTTCAGTATGTTAAATGATGTGGTACAGAATTCCAGCTTAAACATAATATGTTTACCCATTTTAGGGGTTGGTCCATCGATCTTACAAGCCCGTGTTTTGGTCTCCTTCATCAAGGTATAGTATGTGTATCTGGTAATTAAAGAGGGAGAAAGTTTTGGGGCTTCCAGATATTTATATGTAATGCTTAAACCTTAGGACTGCATTGGCTGAAGCGGAACTGGAATACAATCCTGAGCATGTCAGTCGGTCTATATATGTAAAATTCCCTATCTTGAAACCACCTCCCGTGTTGGCTTCTCTTATAGGTAAGATTTATTCGGTGTTGGCATCTCTTTTGGGTAAGATCTGTTCATTGCTGCATTTTATTAAAGTTAGTGAATTGCACCATTTACTAACATATTTTAACACTTTGTTTTTACAGATGACTCATCTCCTGTTAGTGTCTTGGTCTGGACCACACAGCCTTGGACAATTCCAGCCAACCAGGCTATTTGCTTTATGCAAGAGGCAAAGTAGGTGTAGAATTTCATGTTTTAAAATCTGCTGATCAGATTTATTCCATCATTAGAGTACTTTTGAAATTTTTTTATTCTTGTTGTCTTTAAAAGGTGGTGCATCATAATTTAGATGTTCGGTTCATGAAGACTTTATTAACTCTCAGATGACTTTCAGTGCCTTATTTCCAGCTTTACCCGACTCTTAGGGAAAGCTGACCAGAAATGTGCTATCGGGAGAGCATTCAACTGCCAACCACAAAATCAGTGGTTCAAACACATCAGCTCAGCTGCTCGTCAGGCAAACGATGAGGCTCTGCTCCCGTTATATATTTATAGCCTTGGAAACTACGTAGGGTCACTAGGAGTCAGAACTGACTTGATGGCAGTGGAGCTTTGTTTGTTTAAACAAATGGACAGTGTGAAGTTCTTTTAAAATAATCATATTTTCACAATAGGTCATTTTAGTTTTAAACTTGAGGTTCGTATTTTAAGGTAACGGAGAAAATGAAAATGCTATGGCTGTTTTTTTTCATTGTTAATGGTAATCTAAAATTGTATTTTAGGTATGCTGTTGTGAAATGTGCCACTTCTGATGACATCTACATTTTGGCAGCCGATAAAGTAACAGCTGTTGCTTCTGCCTTGGAAACAAAATTTGAGGTTATTTCAACATTTTTAGGTGAAGATTTATAGATATTTTGATCCTTCCAGTCATCAGAATATTGGGTTGATTTGCATTCACTTCTTTTCTGAACTTTGTGAATTAGATATAGGTGTTACCTTTCTAGATTTTAATTACACTGAAGGAGAATATGCATTAACTATATTAAGAGTATAGAGTGAAGTCAATATTGACTAAAGCACAACAGTTAAGAATACATAGTTCCAGCAAGTATTCATGTTACTTTGCAACATTTTATGAAAATCAAATTGATTAAGGAATCGGAGTCTGAAGAACTATGCATATGAGTTTAATAAATTGAGTAGATTTAAAAATTAATTCAAAAACAATTCTGATAAGCTATATTTGGGGACTTCTAAAATAGTGACACTTAAAAAACTATTTTGTTAATTGAGTAAAAGTTTACAGAACAGATCATCGATAATTCATACAGATAGTTTAACATCTTGTTCATTGCCATTCCCTCAGTGTGACCTCCCTTATCCCACTTCCCTGTGCCCATTCCTCCTCTTCTCCTGACCCTTCTGAGCTTTTCCGTGTGTAAATGCTGCCCTTCTGATCTCACAAGGTTGGTTATTCTCAGGTAGACGTACCTTACTGGTGTTATTGTTTCCTTTATAGACCTTTCTGTTGTTTGGCTGAAAATTGAGTCATGTGGGTGAGTTCAGTTCCAGATCCGAAGGGTGACAAAGGACCGTAGTTTCGGGGTTCAGTCCCTATCTGACCAGTAAGCCTGGTCTCTTGTATGATTTGGGTTTTGTTCCACTTTTTCCTCCCACTCCATTCAGCGCTTAAACACTAGCAAACAGTTAGCTAATAGTGAAATACTAAGCCAACCAAGTTGAGTAGCAAGAAGAGCATGTTACTTTTTTGAGGAGAAAGTTTGTCCTCAATTATAAGGGAATGTCAGTTTTCCTCAAGTCCTGTGCTGTTGCAACAAAAAGGAGGTCAGCCGTAGGGTGGTTATGAAGCCAAAATTTAAATATTTGCATTGTTCTTCTGTTGTTACTAGATGCTGTAGTTAGTATTGCTATAAAGCTAGAAAAAGTATGATAGGAATGGAAGGTTCTCAATGAAGGTTGGATTTTTGAAAGTTAAAATGATTTAGTTTTGAGAGAAGAAGAAATACTTAGGCAGTTAGATGGTAATTGACTTTTCTGTAATTACTAAAGAGGAGGTGAGGTTAACATTGACGTGTTCATTACACCACGGTAAGTTGGATTGGTAGCTTCAGATCAACTTTTTAAATGTTAAAAGATTTTAGTTTTAGAACATATAAAAGAAAGATTAACACAGAACTCCACTCAAGGGACAAGAAAATTGGGAACCAATAATGTCATAGAAAAATTAATAACAACAAACAACAACCAAGAAACCCAAAGCAGATCCACGGACACTGAGTTGATTCCAATTCACAGCAGGCTTATGTAGAGCACAGTGGAACTACCGCATACAGTTTCTGAGGCTACAGCTCCTAATGGGAACAGACTGCCTTATCCTCCCAAGTTGTGTTGGTTTGGACCCCTAACGTTTGGCTTAGCTGCTCAATGCTGAACCTGCCACACCACTAACACCGTAAAATAAGAATAGTAAGTATTAAAGGGAGTTAGGGCCAAATGGAACATTACATTTGGAATATCAGACTTAATTTTGGATTGAGCCATTTTCTAAGTGAGTGACCTCATACAAATTTCTTTAAATTTTTTGAGTTCTGTCTCATCATTTGCTAAGTTATAGATAATAAAATCAATTTTATAGTTTTATTATGAAGATGAGAAGAATTTTCATTGAGTCTGGTACATGAAGGATACCCGTTATTTATCACCATTTATCTTTTTAGGGTAACAACAAGTTCCCACAGAGATAGTATTAGAACCTACTAGTTTTTGGCCCTCTGATCTAGAATTTCTTTGTCCTCGTATTCTAAACAACACATTGCTGCTAGTTGCCATCTACTTCCCTTTCTAATCTCGTGTTACAGAGTCACAGTGAATTACACAGGGTGTTCCTAACTATAAATAAACTACACCCTCTGCTACCAAATAGGTTCCAACTCACGGCCTTACACAGGTTTCAGAGACTAAGTATTTACAAGAGCACATAGCCTCAGTTTCTCCCATAGAAGGACATGCTGTTGTTAGGTGTAGCCACATCAACTCCAACTATGGTGACCCTGTTTACAGCAAAGTGAAACACTGTCCAGTCCTGCCAGCTCACAATTCTTTGGATGCTTGAGCCCATTATTGCAGCCACTGGGTCAGTCCTTCTTCCTGAGGGCATTCCTTTTTTGCTGCCCCTTTGCCAGGTCTGATGTCCATTTTCAGAGACTGGCCTGTCCTGATAACATGAGTTCAAAGTTCACCATCCTTATTTCTAAAGAGCCTTCTGGCTGTACTTCCTCCAACACAGACTTGTTTGTTCTTCTGTCGGCTCGTGGTATTTTGAATATTCCTCACCGACACCATGAATTCATGATTCAACTGCATGAATCCTTCTTGCTCCTCTTTATTCATTGTATGACTTCCGGGTGAGTATGAGGCGATTGAAACTGTCGTGGCATGAGTCAGGTGCACCTTGGTCCGCAGAATGACATCTCTGCGCCTTAACACTTTAAAAGAAGTCTTGTGCAGCAGATTTGCCCAATGAAATAGGTTTTGTTTTTAATCATTTTATTGGGGGCTCGTACAACTCTTTTAACATTGCATCCATTGTGTCAAGCACATTTGTACATTTGTTGCCATCATCTTTTTCAAAACATTTTCTTTCTACTTTGAACCCTTGGTATCAGCTTCTCATCCCCCCGCCCCTCATTATAATTGATAATTTATAAATTATTATTATTTTCATATCTTACCCTGACCACTCGCAGTATGTTGTTTTATTTGCTGTTTCCATGAGCATTGATTATAGATTCAAGTAAAATGAAATCCTTGACAATGCCAGTCTTTTTTCTTTTACTATAATGTTGTGTAATGGCCCAGTTATAAGGAGCAAAGCTAACTTTGTAGTTAGCCCAACGCTTGCCTCCCACAGTGTCTCCAGAGCAGTGTACAAAATGGGAAAATTTGAGTTATTTGCCCACTCAGTTGGACTAATCGCTAATGTTTTTATGCAATTACTGTGTGACAAGTTTTATTTTAAGTGTCCCAAACCCTTAAAATACATTAACTTATTTTACTTTTATGGTATCCCTTGGAGAAAGGACCCATAATTGTCACCATATGACAGATTCTTGAAAGTGGCCTTGATGGCGTAGTGGATTATGCCTTGCGCTTCGGTAACTGCAGGGTCAGCAGCTGTGTTCTGCCAGCTGCTCTGAGGGGAAAAGGCCGGGCTATCTCTTCCTAGATCAACTGTCCCAGACACCTTAGGGAGCAGGGTTACTCCGTCCTCTCGGGTTGCGATGAGTCAGAACAGGGGTTTTAGTTGTTGAGTATGGGTCTTGGCACGTAAAAAGAGAAGTCAAAGTTTGAGCCCGCTTTAGAGCCTGTACTCCTAACCTGTCTATTCCTACCCTTAAAGAGGTGAGAACAATTGTCTTATAAAAGGGTTCTAAAGAGTGTTTTTTCTCTCTCCATAGGTGCGGATTTAGAAAATAGTACTTGTACTCATCCTGTTTATCCTGATAGAGTTTCTCCTCTTTTACCTGCAAGTCATGTGACCATGACAAAGGGAACTGGCCTGGTTCACACAGCCCCAGCTCATGGTATGGAAGATTACAGTGTAGCTTCACAGCACAACCTGTCAATGGTACTCGTCCTCTTTTTTCCTTTAATTACGGGTTTTGTGAATCAAAGTGACAAAGTCGAATGAACATCTTTATTTTTTGTGTAACAATCATTTTTGTCCTAGTAATGAAATGGTCAATTTTCAGTTTTATACCACACCTCAAAGCCTCATTAATTTATACTAATTGAGAAAAGTTCCCAGAATTAGCACAAGATCAACACAAAGTTAGAACTGAAGAATAGATATTCAATGGGCAGTTTTTTTTCCCCCCCAGTATATTATGTGATACAGACAAATCACTTTCAGTTACTGAAAAATTGCAAATAGTAAAATAGATTTTACCAATTAGTTGAAGAACTTTTGAGTTTGCTTTTAAACTAGATATTTTGCTTTAAATGTATTTCACACACTTCTGTTACTTGGCTTATTTTCCATTATAGCTAAAGGCTTATCTCAACATCATCATTTGTTGTTACTCCAGATCTGTGAATTAACAGAAACTAAGACAAAGTTGTTTTAGACCATTTTATTACACTCCACTGTTAAATTTTAACTACCTTAAATGCTTCACAGGGTTTTGTCTCTGGGGATTTACATGTATGAAATTGACAGATTTCTCCTGACTGAATAACAAGTACCCGTTTTCCAGGTGAAGAAAGACTAGGCTGCTCTGAGATTTTTCTGTAGGTTGTCTTGCCAGACAATGCCACAAAAATCTACGTTTATTATTTTAATTATTCAAAATGATACTTTGCAGGAGTGCTTAGTGAATGAAGATGGCGTTTTCACAGATGTTGCAGGTCCTGAACTTCAAAATAAGGCTGTCCTTGAAGAGGGAACTGATACAGGTGAGTGTTGCATCTGTTGTAATCATGAACGTGTGTGTTTGCTTGAAAGACATCCTTTGCTAGCTATTTCTCCCATTTAGAAGAGAAACAGGCTAAAATGAAGACTATTTTGCTGTGTTGTTCAAAATGGAATTTGGGGTTTTTTCTTCAAGTGGCTGTAGTTTGTGTGAGCAAATCAGGGTGGTCAGTAAGAGAATGTTACTGTTTTCGGGCCCACAGAGGCAATACTCTGCTCCTCTTTTGGGAGATGAAATTAATCTTGGGACTAGATGGACCAGTGCTTCCCAAAGTGGGTAATACTTTTCTGGAGTGGTAGTTGGGGGGCGACGGAGCGCTGCAATTTATCCTTGGATTATGAGTTACAGGATAAGAGGTTTGTTTTATTGTTTTTTTCCTGAAAGAAGGTGGTAGGCAAATGTTTCGGAACCTACTGCCCTGGACCTTTCCAAGTGCTGTTGTAACCGCTCTAATTCACTGACCTCTCCGGTCCGGTTGGGCACTGTGGGTGATCTTTGGTCTTGCAGCTTTGAATTCTTCTTCTGTTTTCTTTGTGGATTCAGGGATCATGTCATGAAACGCTTTTTGTCCACAGTAGAACCAAAGCGAATTAGTCTTTCTGGGCTGTAAGCATAAGGCCATCAATTCAAAACCACCAGCCTCTTCATGGGAAAGAGGAGGCTTTCTGTTCCCATAAAGAGTAACAGTCTCACAAACCCATAGAGCAGTTCTCCAGGGGCAGTGTGGGTGGGCCTCGACGGGACAGCAGGAGTTTGGGGGTGTTAATTTCCCAGTACTACTATAACTGGTTACCATAAAATTGGTGATTTAAGATTGCAGACATTTATTCTTTTACAGTTCTAGTAGTTTAAAATCCTGCTGAAAGCTGTGGGGCTAGCTTCTGGTGGCTCCAGGACGTTTACAGTGCCTCTTGCCTGGTAGCTGTGCCATTCCAGTCTCGACTTCTCTTGTCACATGGTCTTCATTGGTCTGGTGTGTCTCTGTCTTTTCCTCGATAAAGACCCACTTAGTGAATTTAAAGCCCATCCTAATCGAGTAGGACTTTATTGTAACTTGACTACATTTCAAAAACCCGATTTCTAAATAGCATCACAAAAGTGATGTAACCAGGAGCAAGGACTTGAACTTTTTTTTTGCACACAGTTCAACCCACTGTATCTGGTTTCTTCAGGGCTACCTACAGACAATTTGAAGATGCATATTTTGAAAGATTATAGCTGCATTTCCAATCTAGAATTCTAGAGCGATCCTAATCATCTGTCCTTTGAAATGAAGAGCCTTAGGAATGGCATAATTGAAGTCTGACCATGTTTTACAGGTCTGGCTTTTTCTGTCTGGAGATTCCCAGATATACTTTTGATACATGGGAAGTGGCTGGTCTTGATTTAGTACTCCCTGAAAGTTTACAGCATTACTTTTTGTTCCCACATTCCTTTAAAAATGGTGTCCAATATAAATTGTTATTAATGTTTTTAAGTTATAAAGATGCTTCAGGCTACCAAGAATTTGTTGAAAGAGGAAGAATTGGTGCACAGCTACCCCTACGACTGGAGGACTAAGAAGCCAGTGGTGATTCGTGCCAGCAAACAGTGGTTTGTGAATATCATGGATATTAAGCCCACGGCCAAGGTAGTAAAGGCGTCCTTTGATAGGGTGTGGGAAGTTAAAGGGTTTGCTGCTGTTATTATTTGCTTTCATGAAGTTGAAGGATTTTAGATCAAAACAGTGGTTACTCCATGTCTTCATTTTGTACATAATGGAAAATGAGAGCTTCCTTGACTTGTCCAAAGTTACACAGTTAATAAGTAGACTTTTCTGTCTAGTGTATTTAAGGTAGAAATTGGACAGAACTGAGTTTAGAAAGTTGTTTAACTTCCTAGAATCTCCATTTCCCCAACTCTATCAGCATGGTAGCTAAGTGAATAAAAATGCTTGGAGTAGCATCTGGCACTTAGTTGGCATGCTGTAAGACGTAAAACCTATTTCCCTTCTTAAGGTCATATTGTAATCCATTCGAAAAGGTAAATAACCTATTATACTAAATATGTAATACATTTTTGAGCTCTTTCATTACATACATACATGTGTGTGTGTGATTTATATCTCACAGACCACTTGATTTTGTTGAGTGAACTCAAATCTAAGTGGTCAGATATGTACATATTTGTTAACCAGGCTGACTACACAGATATTTTCCTTTATTAGCTTCTTTATTTATTGGCTTGGCAATTTAGGGCCCTTTCCAAAGCAATTTACATTTTAAACTTTTCCAGTATGGACAGTGAACCCTTTGTAGGCGTAGTGGAGTACACTTTAGGTTACTAACCACGAGAGAGACCTTTTGCTCCCATAAAGATTTATAGTCTTGGAAACCACCTGGGGCAGTTCTGCACTGTCCAGTAGACTGTGAGTCGAATTGACTTGATGGTAATGAGATTTTAAGTTGGCTAATGCATATTTAATGTATGGACGATGGTGTGTTGATTACTTTTTCTTTATGTTTGTGTATCTGTTTCTTTTACATTCCTATCAGACTCTCGTTCCTTACCTGTAAATGTACCTTGTGTAACTGCCAACTTTGCCCAGAGTTGTGATGGGGGAAACACTTGTCAGTCTGATGCAATTGGCTTAAGCCAAGTTAAAAAAATTTTTCTTTTTTTAACTTAATGATTCTTCACGGAAGTTGAGAGACTAGGATAATGTGCTACCATGTTTTCATCACCCACTTTAAAGGATAATCACCTTTTACCGAATCTTGTTTTTATATACACTTTTTCTGGCCATCTGCCTTTCACCTACTACCCACTGAATTATTTTTTCTATAAACATTTCAGCATGTGGGGTAAGCATTGAGCTGCTGACCGCAAGATCGGCAGTTCCATCCCCCGTCAGGCCACAGGAGAAAGGTGAGGGCACTTGTTCCTGTCAAGTTCAGGACTTGGGGACCCCATGGAGCAGTTCGACTTTGCCCTAGGAGTCGGACTTGAGTCCAGGACACAGGGTCTGTTGTCTGGATAGCTGAAAGATAAAAAGTTTAAGAAAGATAACTCCTGTGATACTATCACCTTGAAGAAAATAATAATTACTCCTTAGCCAAGCAGCATCACGTATCTGGTCAATATTTATATGTTCCGGATTTTTAAACCAAGTTTTAATGAAATTGAATTGTAGAGATATTGCCATTTTGCCAGTAAGTGGTGCTACACACTATTTTGTGTGGATGGATTTCTAATAGTTCAGGTAAGTGAGGAACAATTTAAAACCTCTGAAAATATAAAAGTACCTTTATTAAGGGATAGAGAGCTTTTAAAATGAGGTTAACAAATTCTAGTGGTTTGGGACAGTAGGAGCAAATGTATTGGCAGTACATTTCATGTTTTGATAATTGACCAATGGAATGAAATGAAAATGAAATCAAATAGTAGTTTACACTTTGGGGAGAACAGTAAGGAAAAATTCTTGAGAGGTAGCAAGGAAATAACTTATTTTAGGATTTTTTTTCTGTTTTATAAACTACATGATGTAAATCAGTACATGTTAAAATTCTTTATTATCATTGACTGGTAGCTTATTTCATTAAGCATTTAAAAAATGATTGAAATCAAGGTTCAGTTGATTTTAGCTATAGTTTAATGCAGTCTAATGCTTCTGGACTGGTTATTGCCAGCTTGATGTGAAGTTCTTAGATTCTGGTGGGGTAAAGTAGCTCAATCACATCCTCCAAACTGAAGTCTGCTCCTGATGTTATTTACTCGGTCCTCCGTGGCCCCATTTTTACTTTATCTCATTTGTTCTGAAATTGCTTTTTTAGGGTTATTTTGGTAGGAGTTGGTGGCTGGAAGGGAGCATAGAAAATGACTATAGATAATCTGAAATAAAAGGAACCGCAGTAGGAAAAATGACGGTTCTAGGAAATGTGTTCTCCTTTCTCTTACTAGATAGTGACTTGTGACTCAATTGCAGGAATTGCTGAAAAAGGTGAAGTTTATTCCTGGATCAGCACTGAATGCCATGGTTGAAATGATAGACAGGCGACCCTACTGGTGTATATCAAGACAAAGAGTGTGGGGTGTTCCGATTCCTGTTTTTCACCATAAGACAAAAGATGAATTCTTAATCAACAGGTAAAACTCTTCTTAAAATTTTTCAGCATTTTACAGTGAGTTTTGTTTTCTTCAGTAATGGAAAAATATTGATAAGTTAGGTGTATTAAGCAGGATATTTGAGATTGATTTTTTTTTTTAGGGAAAGTGTGAGACTGGGGAATTTACTTATTTTCCTTGAGTCTCAGTTTGTACTTCAGGAAAATAAGATAAAGAGTGCTTGTCAGAGGATTATTATGAATACTGCATAATAAATGTGAAAATCCTGGAGTAGAACACAGTTCCACAAATGGTAGGTGCTATCCGTTTGTTCATTGGGGAAACACCATTAGACCCTTGCTGAATGCTAGTGTTGGGCACTACGTATAACTGCAGTAAACAAGACATATGGTTTTAGTCCTTAATGTGATGATAGTCTAACTTAGTGAGGCTTGGATCTGTTCATGTTATTAAAATAAAGCAGAATATTAATCATTCTCTCTAGGACTACATTCTAGGTTTTCACTTTATTTCAGTAACTTTGTTTTAATTTGGTAAATGGAATTTTTACTAAATTGCACCACAGCATAAGTACCGAATTGAGAGCTGTTGGTAAGTATTCATACTTTGATCCAGTGAGGAGTCAATAATGAATTGGAGGACATGGAAGATAGCAAGTCGAGGGGTTCAAGAGTCTGTTGACTTGAATGCTACTCCTCCCCCCAACACACACTATTTTGGGGTTTTTCAACATTTTTCTGAAAAGGGTGTACTTTTTCTTTGTCAACATTATCAGTACTACTGTAAGTGATACTTTTCTGCGTTACATATATTAATACTTTTTTAAAATGTTGATTTTAAAATATTGTGTATTTTTTTCTTTTTAAAATTACCTATGCCACCACATTTAGGTGGTTCTTGGTCCCCTTTGAATGAAAGTTCCCTTCCTTTGAAGTATACGTTGTTTCACTCCTAGTGACTGATGCCTTCCAACAGCCTGGCTCAGAGGGAGGAACTAACTAGAGTGTCTGCCTTAGTAACGGTCATCCCCCAGAGCAGCCTGTTTGCTTTATTCTTAGAGGGCATGGTGCTTGAGTCAAGTCCTAGCGAGGAAGTAGAAATTAGCAAAATGGAGGAAATGGTTTCCAAGTTTAAGGACTAACAAGAGCTGGAGGCCTAGACATGGAAAGTATAGCATACCTATAGAAAGAGTTGAGTGCCTAGGTTGGTGCAAATGGTTAATGTGCTTGTTAGCTAATTAAAAGGCGGAAGGTTCAAATTTATCCCTAGGCACCTTAGAAGACAGGCCTGGCAATCTATCTTCAGAAAAATAAGTCTTTGAAAACTCAAGGAAGCACAGTTCTACACACTGGGTCCGCCATGAGTTGTGGTCCACTTGATGGCAACTGGTAGAAGAACTAACTTTGTCTATCTAGTGTGTGGTGGGAATAGAAAAGGTTGTTTGGGAAAAATTATAGGAAGTTTTGAATACTAGGATAAGAAATATGAGCTTCTCACTTAAGTATAAGAATGTACCTTAAGAAAAGAAACTAGAGACCAGAAAGTCATTGAAAGGCTATTGTGGTTTCATGACAGTTTAGAACTTGGATGGCACTCTTTGGTTTAAATATTGTTGATTATGCTGTTCTTGTAATTTCGAGCTTGGTGACCTGTAAACTAATGTCTTAATACCTGTATTGAGAATTTGAGTGATTATAGTTGTGCTAAATTTGCACAAGTATTATTTGTTGTTCCACAGCGGAAATTTTTCTTCTAAAGAAACGTTTAAAAGCCACCAATATAAATGTGTCTCATTCTTTTCAGTCATTAGATAATTTTTTTCAGGGAATTTCCTTGAAGTGATTAAGGCAGACTGTATACTTAACTAACTAGAGTAGACTCATTTCATTGGCTCTTACTTCATTATGGCATCAAATAGTACATAGGTCAATTGACTAGCAAGTTAGGTGAAATAAAGGTGAACTTTATCAGAAAAGCAAAGCAAATTTTCATCACATATCATTTATGCTTTATTTACAGTCAATATATTTACATGGTGTGTTACAGATCTTTTTCTGCGTAGCAGCGGTGTTGCTTATATGATGACATTGATTGCATTCTGATTTTGAAGTAGCAGAGACATACAGAATATTGGCCTACAGAAATGACAGACAAGCTTGGCCATATTGTCTGTCAATTCATAGGTCATTTTCCTGTGCGCTGTTTCTTGATGATGCGCTTACTCCTCTTCCGTTGTTGAGTGATGTGGCATATCCCTTGGATTCAGGCAAATTGATATTCTTTTTTGTCAGAATGAAAGATTGAAATGAAAGATTACCTTTTTTCTTCCTTAACCAAAGGGGAATTAAGTAACTGTAATTTCAAAAAATATATTTCTTTATTATTTCTTTATATTGTAGCAAGTTGGTAAGCATCAAAAGTAACAGCATCTCCACTGGAAATTAGACACAGTCCACATGGAGTTGCTGTTACATTTGATGATCGCCATCAAGTCCATCATAAGTGCATATTGCTTTTCCTATAAAAAGTCTATAAATTACCTCTGCGTGTGCTGGTTTCACAGAAGATCTTGACTCATTCGTGTTCTCAATACGTCTAGGGACTGGTAGATGCGAAATTCTTGTTTAATTTTGTTCTTGTTTACATTGTATAGTCACATTTGTATTTTCTCAAGAAATGAATTTTTTCTTACTTTAAGATTAGCCATTTTCTCAATCTGTATTATAATGCCATTACAATTTAAGTAGAAATCTGTTGCTAGTTAATAAAAAATCATTTTTAACATAAAGAAGGTAAAATTACAAACATTGGTACCCTGTGAAACAAAAGAAAAATGTTGATTTGAATACATGTCAGATGATTATAATCAATCGAATGCTATTTATGTAATAATTGACAGACATTTAGGAAATTTGGCGCTTGATTTCTGAAAATTAGATCAAAGTTACTAAAAACAGGCAATGCATTTCCAGTTTGTTGACTGTAACTATCTCAATTTTTTCTTATGCTAATAATAATAGCCTTTGTTGGAAAATCACTGGTATTGCTCATTAAGTAAATAAAAAGTTCTCCAAAATTCTTATTACCTTTAAAATACAAGTTACAGATTTAATTAAACATAGATTTCCGGCCCCCACGGAATCTTATTCTGTTCTAGAGTTTAGCACATAAAATAGGAAGCACGTTTAACTGCTTACCGCCCTCTTATTTCAGTAACATGTAGAGGAAGAGTGTACTCGTTGTCCTTAATAATTTGGTATAGAGACGGACGGAGGCCACAGTGGGTTGACAGCAGCAGTGTCTTTGTTCCCTTGTAGTCTAAGTGCTGCTGAGTTTCCTGTAACACGTTAAATAAGCTTTGAGCCCAGTTGATACCAAAGTTCAGATGATTGGTTAGTGTTCAGTTGATCAAACTGCTTAGTGACATTTTACTGATTGAAACCTGGGAAGGGACATGTAATACATGTGTTTAGATAAGCCCTGTGAGTAAAGTACAGAGTTTTATGATGGGTTTATTGCTTTATGAAGTATGGCATTAAAACGAAAGCATATAGATTATATAGTGATAAGTTGGTTTCACCCACTTTTATCAACAGTAATTCCCAATGATCTTTAGGTTATAAGTCCACCCTGTGTTACATATACATTATTTTTAGCAAAGTAAAGTGGAAAATTCTAAACTTTTTCTCTGAAGAATATTTCAGCTATTGTTGAGTTTTAGAATGTCACAGGGAATTGCTTACAAAATTGGTTGTTGTTTTTTTTCCTATACCATGATCACAGTTTTGTTGTAAAAAAAATTCTGCCTTTAACATCCTAATAAGAGATCACTTTAGTCAGTTATGGACAGTTAACTCTGAATTTTTTAAAATAGTAGTTTAACACTTTTTGCCTAGGTCTTATGTCTGAAAATCAAGTGAATATAGCCATTCCCAGCATTTAGGACTGTTGCTCTCGCTCGCTCTCTGTGTTTTTTTATAACAGTGAGCATCTTCTGAGCACTTGTACAGCATTTAGTACTTCTATTTTTTCTGCCAATTCTTATATTTTTAGATTTTGTTTGAACATTATCTTTGTGTTTAAAATCTAATATAATAAACACTTCTATCTTAAAGGTTATGTTTCTTTATTTTTATTGTAAATTTTGTTTTTAAAACTCTACCACACCTCTACGTAAATCTTAACTCAGTACAAGAACACTTTATTCTAATAATGTGACAATGTATGATACCTTCCGGACATGATTGCAGAAGAAAAAATGGCTGTATAAGCAAATGTAATGAAGAAAGCTGATGGTGCCTGGCAATGAAAAGATACAGTGTATGGAGTTTAAAAGCGTTAGGTTAAAAAAGTAGCCATCTAGCAGGTAAGCAATAAAGCCCACATGGAAGAAGTGCACCAGCCTGTGTGATCATGAGGTGTCAACGGGAATATAGGTATCAGAAATTCAAAAACAAGCAGTCAAATTGACGTGACGGTAGTGGACAAAGTGGAGACCCAAAACCCACCTGTAAGATAATTGGACAGTCCCTCACAGAAGGGCCACATGGAAGGGACGATATATCCAGGGTGCAGTATAGCAATGATGAAACAAATAACTAACCTCTAGTTCTTTAGGATTTCCTCCCCTTACTATTATGGTCTTAGTTTTACCTTATTAAGCTTGTTAGACCTGTGCATATGTTCATTTGTATAATTAAGATCATTCGATGCATGAAGTCCAAGATAGATAAATCCTTCAGAAATAGTAATGGAAGTAACGATTCCCTAAGGGTAGGAAAGAAAAGGGATGGGGAAGGGGCGGAAGTGGGAACTGATAGTGATGACTGTATAGCCCCACGCAAGGGGAAAGAATGACAGAATTGTAGGTGAATGGATATATTGGGTGGTGTAAGATAAGGCATATGTATATATTTATAAAATAAGGGTTCCTGGGGGAAGAAAGGAGATAAAGGGGAGCTCATATCAAAGAGTTCAAGAAGAAAGAAAATGTTTTGAAAATTATGGTGGCAGAAATTGTA